CGCGCCCAGTGCACCATAGCGCCCGCGGTCTCGGGCTACACGAAGGGGGCGCCTGGGACCGAATCTTTCTCCAGGGGCGCCAAACACTCAAGATCGCAGCCTGAGCCTGACCATGCTCATTCCCATCCGTAGAATGGGCCGATTGGAGATGGAGCCTGAGCTGGTTCTAGATCACGGCTCCATAAAAGACGAACGCACTGCCGGCCCTTATTTGTAGCTGGGGAAATAAATGCGAGTGTGTGAACCTATGATGGGGTCCGGGAGTGGGGGTAGATCGGGCGTGCACAGTCAGAGCTGCCCTCTGCCTTCTCCTCGCCCCTCTCCATTCTCAGAGCTCGCCTTTCTGGGGATGGCGCTCAGACGACCAGCTTGCCCTTTGAATTGCAGAGTAGCCGCCAGCACCTCAGGTCTATTGGCGAGCGCGAAGTCCGGAGGCGTGGAGTTTGACAACCCCGCAAATCACAGCCTATTAAACGCTGTTTCTTAGCAGCCAGTGAGAGGGCTTGTTGGGAGGGTCACACCCACTGATACCATGTGGGCCGGAACTATGTGGACCAATGAGGATTGAAGGTGTATCTTTGGAGGCGGGGGATGTAAAGTTGAAGGTTTGTAATAATGTACAGCGCAGAAAACTCAAATGGGTTATTTCACAATCTAAAGCGTGTATATATAATGCTAGTTTATAAAGAGTACCTTCCCTGCAGAACGTTCCGGAATGTAAATTTGTAGGTCGAGTTTCAAACTGGTTTTTTGTTTTATTTTATCCGAGCTGAACCTCATTCAACTGGTTACCTCTTTCTGAGTCTCTTTAATGAAGCTTATAAATGGAAAAAAGCAAAGTAAGTAGAATGCGTGTTATAAGTGATTGCATTCAAACATACACCTTTTGTATATAGATTATTCTGTTTGATAGGAAAATTGCTAGGTAGAGTTTTTATTTGTCTGTAAAAACTTCATTTTTTCTTGTTTCTCTGTTTTGACTTAGCTTTACCTCATGAAGTTAAACGTTTTAAAGACTTTGGAAAGCACTTTAACATGACTGGGATCATGGTGGCTCTGACATTTGTGTTTTGTGGGTTTAAAATGTTAAGTTTGAAAGGTAAGGTTTTGTGTGGTGCTTTGAAGCCGCACAACAGATTTGGCTATGGCTCTTAAGTGAGACATCTAGCACCTGAATTTTTATTTTACTTTTACTTTTTATACTTGTCAGAAAATGACTTTCTTTATGAACGCAATATTATTTAAAATTTACTAACCTGTTTTGCTTCTTTTGAAACCACATTTTAGGTCCTTCTCTCATCTACAGTAACAGATAGCGCTAGAGTTTGCAGTGTAAATAGTGTATGCTAAAATATAATGAAAGAAAATTGTATGAATTTTTTATTAGAATTGCCAGCTTGAATGGTCTGCTCAATTCAGGGCATATGACCTCTCAAAATAATTTTTGAGGAATTGAAAATACACTAACAATATCTTCAAGGCAGAGAAAAACTAACCTGGAGCTTTAACTACTGCTTACAAATCCATAGGAGTTATTGTTTTAAATACAAGAAAATATCACTTTCTTTCTGTCCCGTACATGCTAGACATTAAAATGGTTTGTATTTCGTACAAAAGTAATTACCTTAGGTGCTTTATAAATTTAAAAAAAAATTTTAAATCAAAATTGGCTTTTCATTATCCTGCCATGTTTTCTTTTCTCAGATTTGAATAAATGTTTCTAAAATAAATTTTAAATATTCCCAGTCACATCTGTTGTGTTCACTATCAAAATTTCTTAGTTAGAATTTAGTATCTTTATGCCTTGCCTATTAACATTCATGATTTTTTAATGAAAAATATTGCTCAATCATTTGATATTTAGTTACTCTAAGAGAAATCTACTCACAGTTAAGCATCTCCCTATTTTCTCATGACTGAGAGATTTGACATGAGCAGTTATTACAATGAGTATTTCAGTGTTTTAAATGTGAAATTTAAGAGTATGTTGGTGGTGGGAACAAATAATTACTGCTTACCAGCTGACAGCATCAGGCTCCTACCTTTGTCTAAACCAGAGGTGGATTAGGACACGCAACGGTATCACTTAACATCAGATAGGCACCTGGAACACATATGTAGGCGATGTGTTTGTTATTTGGTAATATTTTGGGAAGAGTGCAATACATACTAAAATACTTTCTGTTTGAAAATGATGAATGGAATGAAGGAAACAGTTCATTCCATTTTTAGACTATTTGAAATTTTAAATCTGACCCCTCAGTTCAGGGACTGTTCACAATTTTATCTATAAATCAGATCAGTGGCAGATTGATTTCCCTAAGAAGGAGAAGGGAAAATTGTCCACTGTTTTTATTCAAAATGCCATCACCTCACTCTGCTCATCCTTGGAAGGCTTTTCCAAGTCTAACTGCTTCATCAAGCTTCCTTGGTTACTTCAAGTGCCTCTGCTACTTAACAGCTGTGTGACCTCAGCCACGTTACTCTCCTTGAGATGATGCAGTTGGACTAGGTGATTTCCAAGTGCTGTTTCTTGTACCTTCAAAATTCTATGATATTTCAGAGTTCACAGATATTGTTCCTACATGACTTCTACCCTGGTTATCTATTTTGCCACATAACTTAGCATCTAATTATTTGTAGTTTTTTTTTTGCCTTGTGCTGATTCTTTTATGTGTGTTGTCTTGTCTCTCCAATAAAATTGGAAATCTTTGATTGGAGATCAAATCTTTCCCATATGCCTTGCACCTTGGGTTCATGGATATTTGATTGATGTCACAGAATAAAGGTAATGTCATCACCATTTCATTGTTTGAGGTAGCCATTTCTGTCCCTACAAGGAACTTTGGCGAAAGTCCTTCAAAGGTGTTTGCAGATTCCATAAGGTGTCAGTAGGAGATGCGTATAGTCAGCTCCTTGGTGCTCAGCATTCTTTGAAGGATAAATAAGTAGCAGCACCTCATGGGGTCAGCTCATTTCCCAAATATTTTGAAACTAATGATAATCCTAAGATTCAGTGAATGCTTCACGTGTTGTAAATGGTATAGTCATTCAAACCCTAGGGCCTGGGTTTGAATCTTAGCTGGGTGACTTGGGGCCAGTTACTTAACCTCTATGGTTCAGTTTCAGTATAAGTAAAGTGGCTATGATCATACTACCTCATCAAGGAGCCCTAGTGACACAGTGGCTGAAGTGCTCGGCTGCTAACACAAAGGTCGGCAGTTCGAACCCACAAGCTACTCTGTGGGAGAAGATGTGGCAGTCTGCTTCCATAAAAGATTTACAGCCTTGGAAACCCTATGGGGCAGTTCTACTTAGTCTTATAAGGTCGCTGAGTGAGAATTGACTCCATGGCTGTGGGTTTGGTTTATACTAACTCATCAGGTTGATGTGAAGATTCAATGTGATAGTGTATGTGAAGCACTTAGATTCCTGCTGGGTACATAGCAGTTATTCAGTAAATGCCAGCTGTTGTCATTACCACCATATAGAATGCCTTCTACTGTTAATCCACAGGACAAGACAGTTGATTGAGCTGGCAGAATCAACCTTAGACTGACTTTCATAATTTAAAAAAAAATTGAGCCCTAGAATAAGAAAAAACAGTTTTTTAAAGTTTTATTTGATTAGCTAAATACTCCTACTCCCACAATTACTTTTTTTTTCTTTTCCCCCTGCTTATTGGTAAAAATATTTGATAGTGCAAAAAACGTAGAAAAAAAGTACTTAGCTACAACACTCTGAGATAACCACTGTTTGTGCCATTTTTTTTTTTTTTTTAATATTTTATTGTACTTCAGGTGAAGGTTTACAGAACAGATAGTTTCTCATGTAACAGTAACACACATGCTGTTTTATGACATTGGTTAACAACCCCACAACATTTTAACCCTCTAAATTCTCAACTTTTTTTTTTTTTTTGGTGAAAATACACATAGCCAAAGATACGCCATTTCAGAAATTTTTTTACATACACATTTAAGTGACATTGACTACGCTCTTCTAATGGTGCTGTTATTCTCACTTTAGATGAAGGCTTACAGGACAAAATAGTCTCCCATTTAACAGTTACTACAAATGTTGCCCTATGACAATGGTTAACAATCTCACAACACATCAACAATATCCTTACTCTACTTTGTGTTCCCTATCATCAGCTTCCTACTCCCCTTCTGCCTTCTGGGCCTTATCACTGGACTCCTGTACCTCGTTACTCTCATGGTTTTACTGGGCTGTCCACTCCCAGGCTGAACAGTGAACCTCGAAGGTAACTTCGCCACTGAGCTAAAAGGGTATCTGGGGGCCATACTCTCGGGGTTTCTCCAGTCTCCTTTAGGCCAGTAAATCTGGTCTTTTTATTTTTTTTGTGAGTTAGAATTATGCTCTACATCCTTCTCCAGCTCTGTCTAGAACCCCCTGTTGTGATCCTGGTCAGAGCAGTCAGCGGTGGTAGCCGGGCACCATCTAGCTGTACTGGTCTCAGTCTGGTGGAGGTCTTGGTAGCTGTGGACAATTAGTCCTTTGGACTAATCTTTTCGTTGTATCCTGTTCTCTTCATTCTCCCTTGCTCCCGAAGGGATGAGACCAGTGGAGTATCTTAGATGGCCGCTCACAGGCTTTTAAGACCCCAGACACTACTCACCAAGGTAGAATGTAGAGCATTATCTTTATAAGTAGTGTCATGCCAGTTGAGCTAGATGTTCCCCAAGACCATGGTCCCCAGAGCCCTCTGTTTGTGCCATATTTTAAAGTTCATTCTGGATTATACTAAGATAAGATTTTGATAACTTTTATTTAAAAATTTTAGTGTAAGCATTTTCTTATGGCATTAAAACAAACGTCATTTTTAACGGTTGTATAATATTCCCAATATTCCATTATATGGATATGGATATACCATAATTTATTTAATCTGTCTTTCAGAGGTTTAGGCTGGGGTCAGACTTTCTGTACCATAAACAGTGTTGCAGCAACTTTGTGCATAACTCTTTCTACCCAATTAGTTATTTTTGATGAAATTGGTGAATGTATACTTTTGGGGGAAGGAACAGAAATGACACAACATAATATATGGATGTTGCCTTGAACTTCTGTACATTTTAGACATCAAGGACACTGGTTTAGATGAGCCACAACATTAGTAGAGACAGGAGAAAAATGAAAAGAAAATCATCATCTGACTCACAAATCATTACATTTCAGAAAGGCAAACGTTTGAGCATCATCTGAAAGGCTCACAGCTGTCTGCTGCCCTCTTCCTTCCCAGTGTGTGGCCACATGCAGGAATAATGGCTGGATGGTACTGGCAGCCTTCTGGGGGGAAAGTTCTGACTTCTCAGATCATCCAGATAGAACACTAGCAGAAAATGGGAGAGCGTTTATTGTGTACATGACATACTCTTGGTAGAAACTGAAGAAACCCAAATCTTTTACCAGTTTTATTAGCCACCATTATGAAAGTACAAGGCTCTGGTTTTCTAAATATTGGAATATTTAGGTTTGACACTTGGACTCTCCACTACCCCTGAATCAGGCTATTTAGAAGAACTGGGATAAATAAGATAGGTGGAATTTTCTGGTTGTGTCTGCATAAAAGTAGATATACCTTTTTCTTTTCTCGGTGTGATCAATACTCTTAGACAGAGGGAAAGCACACTCCAGATTTGAGAACAAAAGACTAAAATGGAAAAACAACAAAACCTGTTGCCGTCGAGTCGATTCCAACTCACAGCAACCTATAGGACAACGTAGAACTGCCCCACGGTGTTTCCCAGGAGTGGCTGGTGGATTCAAACTGCTGACCTTTTGGCTAGCAGCCAAACACTTAACCACTGTGCTG